CCCCAAAACCCCAAAACCCCAAAACCCCAAAACCCCAAGGATATAAAATGCTATCAAATGAGTTAGTAAAACATTAGTGAAATTGAGATATTATTGCATTAATATTGATTTAGGTCTGGTGAGCACTGATTTAACAGTCTAACAATCCAAATGCTAGATTTTTTAGAATTTTCTCTGGCTGTTAGTAACCATCCATAGCATATAATTCAATTTCACTCTATTTTCTGTAGAACTTTGCATTTTATGAAAAGCCTGAATAATGAGAGGTATTTCGAGGATACCCGAAACTTATAACTTATGTTATCCGTCGGATCCTAGATTAGAAAGATAACAGAATGATCAGGTAATCTTCAATATTATTTTAATATTGAATAAGAGCCTTAGCACTGATCTAACTAACATTGAGGGTACACAAAAAAGGACCTCTTTTAAACTAGAGTTGAACTGTCCAACGGGTTGTCAATACTTGAGAATGTCTCTGAGCTGTTAAAACTATCTTACTAAGACTACTGTCTTATAATTCTCGCTAGATCATCTTTAAATGACTTCTTAGATGATCATCAATCAAGGAACAAGTACCGAGTTACTTTTGAAGTATAAAATCTCAATCTACCTTCTTTGGGTAGAACCATCTACGGACCATACAGATTATGATGGAAAACTGTGGTAACCTTGCGATGTCGATGTCTACAACGGTTGTCAAATTCGTCAGACTTTTTGTTTGATTGCTTTTTAACATCTCCATGCAAATAACAGGAAAGCGCCATTATTATTCTATTAAACTATCTATCGTTCTCAAATGATTCAACGCTACGGTCAAGTATTGAAAAGCCCGGCTGCATCAGTTAAGTTCAGAGCTCTAGAAATAGAGGACCACCTCGTATGAGAAGATCCCTCTAAATTTTCCTCTCTTAATTATTATTAGTTCCTAGTAAGACTTTAATACTTAAGGATATGATAATAAACTTAATGACTGTGGTTAAAATTTCTCCTATAAATTTTATTCTAGACTGTTGACATCAAATCTTTAAACTTAACTTGGGGTTTTGGGGTTTTGGGGTTTTGGGGAGATCGGAAGAGCACAAGAATGA